GAGCACGGGGGCAGCGGGACAGCCCAGACGCGCCGTGGCTGTCCTGCTGCCCTCGGGCTCCGCAGCTTTGCTCTGCTTTGCTCCCCATCCCCCTGGTCTGCAGACCAGGGGAATGGGGAGCAAAGCCCCGGAGCACGCGGGCAGCCCAGAAGCGTCTGGGCTGCCCGCTGCCCGCGTGTTCCGCCACTTTGCTTCCTCTCCCTGGTCTGCTGGAGACCAGGGAGAGGGTCCCGTTCATAAGTGCGGATCTGACATAAGTCGGATCCGCGTAACTCGGGGACTGCCTGTAGTGTAAACATGCATGGAATTTTACTTACCTGCCAACAACCTGAGTTATCCGAGTTCTTTTATACAGGGCAAAGCTGATAACTAGAAGAAGAAGAAATGCGGTTCCAACTGCTATTCCCATGATGACAACATCACTAGTAGACACTTGGAAAGAAACAGACACAGAACATTACCCTTTGTTTGCACTTGAGACTTGCTCATACAACTGTAACCAACTTTTCCATAGAAATTGTCCCTGTATGAAGAGCACATGCATGAAACACACATCTCATATGTACAACTGTTTAGCAATACCACCAAAGAGGGCCTCTAAACTTGTTTTGTCTGCACATGAGATGTCAGCATTACTGCCTGTTTCTGCTGTGCATTTTCCCTAAATATGCATGCCATGTACTGGCAGTAATTGGGTGGGTGGTGTGGAGGGCATATGAATATGGTAAGATGGAGAAACTCTACATAAAGAAAAAAATCAAAGTGTTTGGTAGGAACTTAATAGGAGCCACATAACTGGATAAAAAAGTACATCATGTTCTTTCCACTACCTTTTTTGTGTCTGGTATCTTATTTAGGGACAGATTCTGATAAACTTATTCATGATTATTAGCACCTCAATTTCACAAGATCCCACTGATCCATTTATGAGGTAAGATGCTACTTGTGTAGCCCAAGGGACTAGCATTAGCATTTATTTTGTTAGTAATGTAAGGTACCTACCTATAGACCTGTAACCTATTTGCTGTAGAAGCTAGTATAAGATTTGAGACCTATGAACTTTGGTACAGATCAGTGGTCTAATGATCACCTATAAGTTTTTGAGAACTGGCAATAGGGTGTATAAGGGGGAATTTTGTTCATAATAGCATCAGCCAACCATGGGAACATTAAGCTAGCAGTGGCTTATGCATAAAACATCCAGATATCAGACCACAAGAGTTCCATGGCAACATACTTTATATATATAAGATAAGTTGGGAGAAGGACACCTTAACGTTAGTAGGGTGAAGAAATACAAATAAGGAAGAGGAAAGACACCCTTGCTGAATATGCATTAACCTTAATGGCATCAACATAACACATTATAAAAGTTGTATTCAAGCCTATGTGTGGAAGGAGAGAGAGTATGGCCCCTAGAAGATGATGGCCACTGGAAGTGAAGAAGAAGGTGATAGTGGTGAGGAAGATAATTGTGAGCGTATATGGATGTTCAGATGTACGTTCTGTATTCTCGGTGTTCACTTCACAGGGTTTGAGCATTTGTGACTTTGCTAAATGTATTCATAAACTATTGTAGAAGTGTTCCCACAGTATGGGTACATCTAGACTACATCTTTTTTTGGAAAAGGAATGTAATTTAGATGTATCAAAATTGCTAATGATGTGGGGATTTAAATATCCCGTGCTTCATTAGCATAAAAATGGCCACCACTTTTTTTTTGGCAAGGGGCTTTGTCGGAGAAAAGTGGCAGTCTAGAGGCTGATCTTTCGAGAAATAAAGCCCTTATCCCTCGTGATATTAGGTTTACAAGATCTTTCAAAAAAGGCTTTGTTTCTCAAAAGATCAGCCTCTAGACTGCTGCTTTTCTCTGACAAAGCTTTGTGCCAAAAAAAAAGCGGCAGCCATTTTTATGCTAATAAAGCATGGGATATTTAAATCCCCACTTCATTAACAATTTCGATACGTCTAATTTACATACCTTTTTTGAAAAAGGGATGTAGTATAGACGTACCCTATGAGTGTTGCAGCTGTGTACAACAGGCATCCCTAAAACACAGTAATTATAATAATGTTGGGCCTGAACTTAGGACAAGAACCTGTCAAATCTCAAAGTGATAACTGAGAATTCTTAAGCAATCAATATCATTGATACACAATCTACAGATCAGGCTACATTTGGTTTGAGTAAGGATTTCATAATCATGCCTTTTGGGTGTTATCTAAGTAATGAGTTCTGGCTCCTTTCAAGGATAGCTCTAAGCTGTAGTATACCCTGGATATGACAAAGGCATGGGTGATAGCTGCAAGGGCCATGTTAGAATACAGGTTCCAAGCTTTAGGTTAAAAAACAAGCACTTACAGATGGTAGTTGGAGGGGGCCCACTGTCAATACTTCCTCCATATCCTTTTAACGTACAGTCTGGAGGGGCCCAACCAAAATCACAATGGCAGTTTTTCTTACTGTTGCAGATCTGCAATAGAATAAGGATATATAACATGGACCAAATGAGTAACTTGATGAAAATACAGCCTTCCTGAGTTATTGGTTCATTCTAACTGTTCTGTACTACATCACGTATTAAATAAAAGACTGAATGATAGTTTCTTAGCTGTTACTTTAGGTTTCTCCACGTCTCATGATATGAGCATCAAGGAAACCAGTTATTCAAAGTCTCCACGTTTGGCAGGAGGAATTAAATGTATTGACTTTTGTTTATTAATATGCAATCTTAGTTTTATTGCAATCACCTCATCCAAAAGAGTAGGGGAAATAGCTGCCCTCATGGCAGACCCCCTAAAAGATATTTCAGAAAGAGAGAGTCATATTAAAGAATGACTGTAGCTTGTAGCTGATCAAAAGATCTAGAAATGGAACCAACTTCTCTAACCACTTAAATCAGTTCTCCTTAATTTAACTTTTGTAGGGTTGTACTTGGGAGCTGAAAGACAAAATTTAACAGAATCACTGAACATTCGTTCTACTTAGGATCACTTAGGCTTTGCAAGTAGAGTAAATGATAGAGCAAACTTCCCTACAGATGAGAAAATCCAATGAGTAGAATCATTAATTTCTTATAAAAGACGTTTTAATATTTTGAACCCCTTATTGAAATCATGTGTAAAGCCCCCAGACCTCCAGGAGAGCAGTATATTGACATTTAGTGTTGTAGGCAGTTGTGAAGAGCTGGGAATCCCCACTGGTGGAATATGGTATTTAGTACGCGAGGGCCCAGCCCAGGGAAAGTAAGGGAGAATTCGGAAGGGTGAGTGACAGAAGAAGAGGGGACTGACTGATTGGGAGCAGGGCCTCAGAGAAGAGATGAGCTGGGGAGGAGGAGCAAAAAGCAGGGTAAGAGGGTTTGATTTTGTCTGATTAGAGAGTTGTAAATAATTGATTGTATATACATCTTTAATTTATTATAAAGAACTACTTAATCCAGTAGCTTGTCTCAGCCACTCCAGGGTTCAGCCATAAACTGCCTCATCATGCTATAGCTAAGGTCTGATATCCAGTAATGATATCACTTGCTCATTATCTAGCAAAGTGGTGCACAATCCATGGTCATGACCAACTTGGGGGTTGCGACTGCCTTCCTGGGGGGTCGCAGTGCTTGGATTCTGCGAGCTTTGTTTTCCGGCTTCCTGGCTCGGTGCACACATGGCGGGGATATGAGAGTGGCAGGAGAGCAGAGAGCAGCCTGACAATTAAAGGAGCTGGTTTTTTTTTTTTTTTTTTGCTCAACCAAATTCGGCGGCCTCTGGGGTGTGTGTGTGCGAATTAAAAAAGGTTGTGCACCACTGATCTACTATATATTTGAGAGAGTTTGTCTGTCTGCCTGTTTGTTCAAGAACTTCTCAAATGTAAGAGCTACTGCCACTAAATTCTCTATACTGCTTCCTCTTATAATTTGAACCGAGGTATGGGTTTGGTTGCACCGAGAAAATGGAATATGCTTGGAATGGGATTATGTCTCAAAAAATAGAAAGGGAGGATTCTATTATATAGGGTATGTCTACACTACATGGCTCCGTTGACGGAGCCATGTAGATGAGGGTTGTAGACATAGCAAAATGAAGCGGCGATTTAAATAATCGCCACTTCATTTACATTAAAATGGCTGCCGCGCTGTGCCGATCAGCTGTTTGTCAGCACAACACGGTAGTCTGGATGCTCAGTGGTCTACATCAAAAGCCTTTGTCGACCGCCCCATTATGCCTCGTGGGATGAGGTTTACCGGGGCGGTCAACAAAGGCTTTTGATGTCGTCCGCCGAGCATCCAGACTACCGCCACTGTGCTGATAAACAGCTGATCGGCACAGCATGGCAGCCATTTTGATGTAAATGAAGCGGCGATTATTTAAATAACCGTTTCATTTTGCTATGTCTACAACCCTCATCTACATGGCTTCGTCGACAGAGCCATGTAGTGTAGACATACCTATAATGACCGCATGTGGGCAGCAGGGGATACGAGACGGAAATCAGGGATAGTTATATTGTATAATGACCACAGGGGAGCATCAAGGGTCCAGAGATGGGGACCGAAACAGCTATAACCCCATGAGGGCAGCAGGGGGCAAGGGCGGAGAAAGGGAAAGCTATCTACTATGTATTTGAGGGAGTTTTTCTGTGTGTCTGTTCAAGAACACCTCCTAAACAGTCATAGCTAGGATCACCAAATCTGTATACAGCTTTCTCTTATAAAAACTTAAAGCAAGGTCACGGTTTGGTTGTGCCAGGAAAATGGGATGTGCCTAGAATGGGATTGCTTCTCATAATACCATACAGAAAAGGGACAGGACCACGAGGAAGGTGGTAGGGGCTAGCTGGGGAGCACACCCTCCCCCCATTTGGGACTGCCCCAGCTCTGAGCGCCCACTCCCAGACCCTTTAGGCACCCTTCAGGGAGGATGGGGAGTGAAGCTCCTCCTCCCCCAAATTATACAGGAACATAGTTGGCTGTTCTGCTTCATCAGGGAGCAAGGGGAAAGTACACAGTTTGCTGAATTCCTCACTCTGGCTGAGGAATGCAGGAAACACAGAAACTTGAGTTTCTTGTTCCAGTCAGCTGGGGAATCTGGGCAAAAGTGCAACATAATAGCACAGGAGTTGATAAGGTTCCCTTCTCAAAATACTTTAATTACTACTTTTCACGATCTTGTCCAACTAAAATAATATAATTAGTCAAACGTGAAGCATCAATTTTAAGAGACTAAGCTCAGTGTTCTATATATTATACTTTCAGATTCTGAGGATATTAAAATCTTTACTACTTACCCCTCTGTTACTGCATTTTGTGTAATTACAATCATAATTCAGAATATTTAAATCGACACATGTTTTGTTTATACATATCTGTAAAAATTCACAAAAAGTATGCATTAGATATGTTCATTTACAGAGCAGAGTTCTTTCTGCTTCTTCAGAATCCATAACAGAGACTTTGAAGAAGTAGAGAGGGTGAATCTATTTGGATAATCTAGTCGAAGAGTTAGTTTCTGGCAAATAGCATTTCTCCTTTAACTACTTTAGCATTAAGCCTTGGATTATTGCTTTCTTGAAACAGGAATCCGCTGCCATTCAAGAAAGTAATGCTGGTTTATTAGGAATTAAGTTTTAAGGAGCAGCTATGTGTGGTAACAGCTAAAAAGTTATCCATAGCATCTTGACTACTGCAAGATCCTTTTTTTTAATCATCTCCACATCCATTCAAAATTATAGCTCTCCATCCATTCAAAATTACCATCCTAGCTCACTTTCTTCCCCTTCCTTTGTATTCCTCTACTGGTTCCCCTTTATTCATTACACTGGATTTAAACTTCTTATTTCACCTGTTACCCCATCATGTGGTCAGGTTTAATCATTTCCTGCATTACTCATTAAACAACTAGTCTATTATGTTATATCCTATGCCTTTTGCATGATTAAGATAAATTCTTGCTGAGGAGATTCCCAATGAGCAGCTTCACAGAAGAGAATTCATGAATATCAAATGGATATTTAGGATTAAAATTTGTGCTTTATAAATCAATCCATAGTTGAAGATCATATGGGGGAGGTAAGAACAAGGAGGCTAATAACTACTGGGTCAGAAGGGGCATCAGCCTGAAATTCCTAGGATAATGGTGGTAAATTGAGGCTGGGCCTACACTAATCAAGAATGAGGAATGTTGAATCAAGAGATGCAACTTGACGTACTTTGTTTTGAGTTTCCCCACTGTCACCACAGTAGGAAGACAACGTGAACAAACACTCCCATTGGCTTCCCTTATTCCTCACAGAAGCAGGAGTACCAGACGCCGATGGGGGGGGGAGGGGCCCTCTGAGTTTGATTTAGCGAGTCCTAACTAGACTCATTAAATCAAACTCCAGAAGATTGATTGTGGCAGTATCAATCTTCCGTTAAGTGACGACATGGCCTGAGAAGAGCGGAAAAAGGGTGGATCTGACATCAAAATACAGCATTGCTTTGATGATGTTGGGGAGAAAAGTTACAAGTTCAAAAGCTAAAGAAGCTATAAACAAGGGGTCACTCACCTTGTGCATTAATCACAGTTCTTCTAGAGTTGCACCACCATGTGCACTCCATTTCAGTTGTGCGTGTACCCCATGTGCCTTTGATTGGAGATTTTCAGTATCAGTACTCATTCAGTTCACTCATGGGCTCCAGACTTCCTCGTGCTCTGTACTGAGGATATATAGAACTTTGCTGGTGAACTGCCCTTAGTTCCTTCTCTACCATGAAATCTTACAAGATGAAACTCTGAAGCATAGCGGAAGGAAAGAGCATAATGGAACACCCAGAAGGAAACAAATCTCAAAGAACTACAATTACTGCACAAGGTAAAGTAGCCTCTTCTTTCAGCAGTTTCCCTGAGAATGCTTGAATTTACATGATTCCCAAGCAGTATCCCCGAAAAAAGCCTTGGATTTGAGTTCAACACTGAAGATACAACTTCATTGCCAACTGCAGCATGTGACAAGGCTGCATAAACCAAGATATAGCATTGGCTGCTGCTCTACAAATTTCAGACACTTGAACATCTTTTCAATAGTACTCTAGAAGCAGACTGGGATATAATAGAATGGGCTAGTATCTTAGACGACATCCACATTGAGAGTCTTTGAATGGATATTGTGGATTCCCTGAATCTGTCCGTAAATGAAATACAAAGTCTGGGAGGACTTTCAAAAAAGCTGTTTTATCTAGAGAGATGGCTAAATGCCTTTCTGACATCCAAAGCATGGCAATTTTCTCCCTGTTCTGGTACAGTTCTAGAAAGGAGACTGGAAGATGAATAATCTGGTTAATATGGAAAGATATGCAGAAGATATCTATCCATTTTGAAAATCTCTGTTTCGATATGGATTGACCCTTGAAAGGCTCTGCTGTAGAAATAAAAAGTCTCTGAGATTGTCTAAAAGATCTGGTTCTATCTAGGTAAAAGGCAAGTGCCAGTCGAACATCGAGGGAGTGGAGCTGTGCTGTGTTGGTATCCAGATGCAGCTTTGGATGGAAAGCGGGTAAGCATATAGGTTCATTTAGTTGAAATTGGGAAACTACTTTTGGGAGAAACTTGGGATGTAGTTTTAGGACAATTCTATCCTTGCAGAAGACCGTGAACAGTAGATGTGCCATGAGTGCGGCTAGTTCCTCTACTCTCCTTGATGTCATTATTACTATAAGGAAAGCCACTTTCATAGACTAGTGAGTGAGGGAACATGATGCCATGTGTTCAAAGGGTGGTCAGGTCAAGGAATAAAGAACAAGGTTGAGATCCCAAGGTGGCATTGATAGCTTTAGCTGTGGAATGATGTTGCTCAGGCCTTTCAGGAACTTTTTGGTTAAAGGATGCGAAAATATGGTGTGCCCTTCAACCCTTTTGGGCTTGTTCAATATTGCCACTAAATGTATCTTTATGGAAGAATTAGAAAGGTTCTGTTTCTTTAAAGCGAGGAGGTAGTCTAATATTTCCATCAGGTCTACTGAGAGCAGGTGTAGGGATCTTTGATTTGCCCACTCAGAGAAACGCCTCCATGTTTGGGAGTATGTCTTCCATGTCATTTGTTTGCGACAGTTCATAATTATATTATGTACCTTCTCTCTCCAGGCAGCCTGTGGCTTGTTCAGCCTTGTAGAAGCCATGCATGCAGATGAAGCCTGTGAATGTCTGGATGAGAGACTTGGCCCTGGTCCTGGGATAGTATGTTTGTCCAGAACGGCAGAGGGAAGGGTGGGGCTGCTGCCAACTGGGACAGGTTAGGGAATCATGGTTGCCTGGGGCCAGGCCAGAGCTATGAGAATTACTCTGGCTCTGTTATTTTATTTTCTGAATGACTGTGCCCAGGAGTGGAATTGGGGGAAACACGTATAGGAGAGTTCGAGGCCAGCTGATCACCATGCCATGTCCTAAGAAGCCCTTGCCTATTCCCACTCAGGAGCAAAACTTGGAGCATTTGGCACTATGTGATGTTGTGAATAAGTCTGTTTCTGGAAACCCCCCACTTGAAGAAGATGGGCTTTGGAATGTATCTCCCACTCGTATTTTTGGTGAAATATGTGGCTTAAATGATCTGCAGTGATATTTTGGTTGTCCGGAAGATATACTACCGACAGGGTGATGTGATGTTGGATGCACCACTACCACAGTATTGTGGCCTCCCTACAGAGGAGATAAGATCTGGCTCCTCCTTGGTTGTTTATGTAAAACATGCATGTTGTGTTGTCTGTGACTATTCCCACATTTGCCTTGAATCAATGGTAGAAAGTGTTTGCATGCTTTTCTCACAGTGTGAAGTTCTAAGATGTTGATGTACAGGGTTGTTTCTAATGTTGACCACTGTCTCTGAGTGTTATAATGATTGATGTTTGTGCCCCATCTCTCTACTGAGGCGTCCGTGGTTATGGTTGCAGCTGGGGGGTCCTGTTGAAAGGGGACACTTGAACATAGGTTGTGCTGCTGGAGCCACCATAAGAACAATACTTTGACCCTTCCTATAGGGCTGAGGATTTTCTGTATGTGATCCTTGTGTGGCTGAAAACACATATGGAGTCTGGCATGTAGGCACCTCGTGGAGTCTGGCATGGGGAACCACATATGTGGTTGCTGACATATGTCCAAGTAGCTGAAGGCATAGTGCAGCTGAGACTGTTGAGCTGTCAATGATATTTCTTGCTAGGACAGATAGAGTTTGGAACAGCTACACAGGGAGACATGCTTGTGCATTTGTACAGTCTACTGTGACTCCTATGAACACTAATTGTTGAGATGTGGTGAGGTGTGATTTTGAGGAATTTAGTTGGAGACCTAGGGATATGAACAACTGTGCTGTCTCTGAGGTGGACTGGATGGCCTCATGCTCCGATTGTGCTACGATGAGGCAGTTGTCTAGGTATGTTGTTTTCTGAGATGGGCAACTGCAATGGCTAGTATTTTGGAGAATACTTTTGGTGCTGCCAACAGGCCAAACGGGAGGACCTGGTAGTGGTAGTGTTCCTCCTTCAGTGTGAATCTTAAAATTTTTTTATGCCATGGCTGGATTGCCACATGAAAATATGCGTCCTAGAGGTTGAGTGATGGCATCCAATTTCCCTGTTCCAACAACAGAATTATCTTCGCTAATGTTACCATGGTGGGTGAATCTTTGTTTTTTTAAATACTTTTTTAGCCTATGCATGTCCAGAATAGGCCTGAGGAAGTATTGCAAGTAAAAGCCTTTCCCCTATGATGAGCTGGTATGATTTCTATTGCCCCCAGTTGGAGTAGTCAGTTTACCTCCTGGAATCGTGAGACAGGTCCCCAAAGAGGGATGAAGAAGGGATTTGGGTAGCAGGAAATCTGGTGAATGGGATGGGGAGGCTTTTTTGTATGATGTCTAAAGCCCACTTGTCTGTGGTAATTTTTGCCCAGAATTGATAAAAGGGCTGCAGGTTATGTTGGTAAGTTATATTGGGAAAAGACATTGAACCTTCAACCAGATCTTCAAAAGGCTTGTCAGCCATTGGTCGACTGAGACGTGTCTGGCCGATCTTGAGTTTGTCTGCATTTTTGTTGCCTTTGCCTTCTTTCTGAGGTCATAGCTTCTCTGGAGTATAAAGGATGAGGATAGTCTACTCTGTGGTGTGAATTCCTTGTTCAGCCTCTTTTTGTGTTGGGGAACATACATGCCCAGGGTCCTCAAGGTTACTCGAGAATCCTTGAGGGAGTGAATGGAGGCACTTGTTGTAGAAAAAAGTTTTTGAACCTCCTAGAGGAGATCCTCAATCATATTCTGTACCTCCCTAGGAAAAATTGAGAGGTGGAGCTAGGCTACTTGACACATGACTACTAAGGTGGCTAAGGACTGTGTCACAGTGTTTGCCGTGTCAAGAGATGCCTGTAATGCCGTCTTGGCTATAAGGAATCCCTCCTCAATGTTGGACTGGAAAGAGACCTTACTTTAATCAGAAAGCTGTTCAATACATTTTTTCACATTGTCTAAGTAGTGATGTGTGTATTTCACCAACAGTGCCTGCATAATTGGCTATTCTTATTTGGAGGGAGGCCGATAAGTAAGATTTCCTGCCCAGAATATCGAGTCTTTTCTACTCCTTATTGTAAGGAGTGGATTTATATTGCATCTGTCTACTTCTGTTGTTGGCCACATCGACAACCAGTGAATTTGGTGTCCGATGGGTAAATAAGAATTCGGCGCCCTTCACGGGTACGGAGTACTTCCTATCCAATATTTTTGAGGTTGGATGGATAGACTCTGGTATTTGCCATAGTAATTTTTGAAGGGTCTGGGATTTTTGAAGGGTCTGCCGCTGTGCCCGATGCCCTGTCACAGAGACATTAGGGTGTGCCTAGGCACACCCGGCACACCCTGTGCACACGCCTGTAGATGGATGTAGATGGTACCAGAGAAATGTCTATGGCCTTCATCAGTACTGATTTGGATGGTGTAGGTACCGATGATTACAGGTACCTCTTATTGTTGGCTCCAGGTGGCTTATTTGGAGCCGGCTTTGTCAGTGCTGTGGGTGTTGGTTCCGATGGCGTAGTAGTGATTTTACTCAGCTTGGCCACTGATACCACATGGCTTGTATCTTAAGTGGATATCGCCCCTTGGGGCTTGTCCACATTGGACTTTCCTGGTGCCTGTGCGTCCCCTGTAGCCTTCCTCTTTGATGAGGCTGGCTTACTGTGGGGAGACAGTCTCTTCAGTGCCCTATCTATTGAGGGTGAAGAGTGCTTCCTTTTGGCTGTCTTTTTGGCTGGGGCATCTCTGGGGACCGAGGCGCCTTGGTCTGAAACAGCTGTTGGTGAGGCGTGCACTGGGGAAGCCTGAGGTGCTGGTTCAGAGGCTGGTCTCTCCATTTTCTCCATTGTGAGGAGCTTGACTCTCTGGCCTTGAGAGATCTGGTCGACAGCTTTTTACAATGGTGACAGATCTTTGGTGAGTTTTCTTGACCCGGGCAACGAATGCATTGGGCATGTCCATCCAAGGAGTAACCATGACAAACTATCTAAGTGCTATCTTAATCAAATTACGATACTAATTTTGAATAATGCACGGAGTGTTGCTGTGTTCCAAACAAACCGGGAGTGGTTGAGAAGGAACTGAGGGTGGGGGAGTGATGCACGTACATCGGTACACTTGCTATGGCACCTATGGTGTGTGCTCTACCACCTGGGGGAGAGGGAGAGTACTGCTGCTGAAAAGTTCCGGTTTCAAGTACTGGGGCATCAAGACACCTGCACTGGAGTGCCCACAGGAACACTCCTTGAAGAAGAAGAAAAAAGTTTTAATCACATGAAAGAGTGGGAAAAGGTGTATCAACTCCTTAATGAATCTTGCTGTTGGGGAGTGAGCAAAAACAGCATCCTTCAAGAGAGGAATGAAAGGCAGCTATTCCTACTGAGTGATCTTTGACACAACCCACAGAGAGTCCTGACTTTTTCAATTCCAAAGGGTAGTCAACAACAGCATATATGAAATTGTGAACAAGTGAAAACTGTCAATAGGTAAACCAGTGGTGAATTCTGAAGATAAATGTTTTGTATGGACATCTTCACACTGGTTAATAGTACCTGTTTTACTTCTGTAGAACGGGAAACGTCTATCCCTGAGAACCATTAAATGACCAAGTTCTGAGAGGAAGAATTCCCAGACTGGGATGAAAAGTCTGACTAGAGTGCTAAAACAAGACATGAAGAACCCATAGATGAATCAACACCAGCAAAGAGGCAAGATGAAATAATCAAGGGTTCCAGACTTGTCTTAGACACAGTGGATCAACTAAAACAGCCCTGACATGGTGATACTTGATCTTGTTCAACACGTTCAAGACAAACAGTATTGTAGGATATCCATAGAAAAGGCCCTCCCTCCAAAGAATGAGGAACACGTTTCTCAAGAAGTGAGGAACTAAGTTTCTTCTAAGGGGCTCAAGGCTGTAACTGGGAGGGATCTGTGTCCTGAAGTCCTGAATCTAATACTTAGGCTGCAACACATGGACCTCCCTCTAATGAATATAGGAAGCTCAATGGTCCCAGTGTGGTCACAGAGGAAGGCCATAAAGTACAAGAGATGGCAGCCAATGCTGCTCAAGAAGGGGCATGGTTGTCTTGTCACTAGACCCTCTCTTTCCACAAGGTATCAGGGAGGTTATTCCCATGTTGACAAGTAGGGGAACTTTTCACAGCTATATGGGAATCTGAAAAGAGGGAAAGCCAATAAATCCCTCCCCCGCCCCCCCTTTTTTTTGCTTGACAAACCTAGGGGTTCCTTGAAATTTTGAAAAGCTGAAAAGGGTTCCTCAGCCAAATAAAATTGGGAAACACTGTTGTAACAAATATTGCACTTTTGTGGGATGTGCATGTCTTCTAGACAGCAAACACACTGTGAATGCCTGCCACTGACCAGGACAGATCTCCAGCAGGTGCGGTAGTGCTTGAATCCTGGAGATCATGGAATATCCCAGTTATAATCTCCAAGGGAAACTCACAGGTAGGGAAGAGGGGAAGAAAGGGGAGAAGGATTGTAAAAATAACCCTCAAACAAAATAAAAAATGCTGTATTACATAGAGTAGAAATAAAGAACTACACTACACTACACTACACTAAAATCTAGAAGATCCTAAAGCTAAGTTTGGGCAACACTGGAAATTGGCATGCCAGATGCTTCATCTCAAGCTGAGGTGGCTGAGAAGGAACTGAGATTGGCTTGCTTGTACAACACTGTATAGCCTCAGAATGGGGCATGAGATCTGCAGCACATGGTTGGCTGAACAAGTGCTAGTACTGAAAATCTCTGATGAAAGACACATAAGTTGCACCTGAAGTAGAGCACCCACAGAGGTCAGTACCCAAAGAATAAATTATGTTATTTTAAAATTTCCCATTACTTTTTCCATTTTTAAAACAGACTTAATTTTTATAACATAGCTACAGTAGATCTTGAAAGCATTAGAAAATTCTGCTATGATGTCACCAATATTCCGACATGAATACATAGATTTAATTATTCAAGCTGAGAAAATGAGTACTATGCATCAAGAAAACTGTTTGTGCAGATAATGTCAGGTATTAAAATGAAAATAGAGTGACAATGGACATGTAAGCAGCTAATTAGTTGGATAAATATCTGTATACCTACCCAATGGAAGAATAACAATCAAACCCCAGGATTTTAACCACTATGTTAACACTTGGGGATTTTGCATCTAGATTTGTAGTTAAAACAGAAACACATATCTAGGCAGAGAAAGCTTGATTCAAGTCTTACTATACTCAGAGCTTGTTGAAAGATTAATTTTTTTGTAAAAGAATTCTTCCTGGAGAGTATTGTCTTTTCAGTCACTCTTTGGCAATATACTGAACAAATTAAGGTTGATTTAGATAGTTTAGAAACATCAGGAGAGAAGGAGACATCTAGGGACAAATATTTAATGGTACTTAGACCCTTAGGGTGAATTTTCAAAAGTGCAGCATTCCCCAAAACTGTGACACTGAACCCTACTTATCATTTTTCCATCCACCACGAAAAAGGGAATAAAACTTCTACTGATCTTAAGCTGGTCTTCTTTAGCTACTTGTGGGTGCTCAAGGCATCCTTTATTCCAACCCATTCACAAATACAACCTGGAACGGGGAACAAGAATTCAAAGACTCCCGCTCCATTTAATCTCGGCTCCACCCTATTGCCACATCGAATTATACTTACTACAGTACCTTTTTTTCACCACATGCTGTACCATCTTCCACTGAGCCAACATCTACCATGTGCCTTCCAGAATGAAATTCTGTACCCCAACACAAGGTATTCTCAACTGGAGTCTGAACTATGGACCCAAGACTTTTCATCTGAGGTATTCTTTTAATATTAACACACTGCAGTCTTCCACATAAGACATCTCTAAAAGAAAAAAAAAGAAGACTAGCCCTGGTCTAGATAATACTTAGTCTTTCCATGAGTGCAGCTATTGTATTAGGCGAAGTTGAAGTTGATTTTCAAGAGTGTAATCTTTGTAAAAAGTTCTCCAGAGACACATGCAGAGGAAATTGAAATTGAAGTAATAGTTCTTTAGTAAATATTATTCTTATGTGTTTTATGTCAAATTCTCATTATTTCTTACTAAACATTCCAGAATTGTTATCCAAAGGTTCTGGTTAAACTCTATAGCTAAAGAGAATTCTAGTTTGAATAAATGAATATCTTTGTCCTAGTAGTCCTGTGCTTTATTATCCTCTCTTTACTCAGAAATTAGACTGACCCTAATATTGGTGTTATCAATAACATGAATTTTAGCTGGACCGTAGCAGGTGATTGAAAAACAGATTGTGTCTTTGTTCTCTAAACTCTTAACCCAAAGGGATGTGTCCAGATGTACAGAAATGAACTACTTATAAATTAAGTGAAGGAAGTAGGACTATGATTACAGAAAACAATCTATTAAAGGATGTTTTCAACTCATCAGTAATTACTCTACCAGATTTCTGTTATGATTACTTGGTGATAGATCTCTTTTTAAATTGATGAAACAGTGGATAGTTGAACAAATATTGCTTTTCAGTTATGTAAACCAAATGCAATGATCAATAGTTTATTTCTTTGACTCTTTTCTGTAAACACACACAGAACATAAATATATGTATATATAAAGTATATATCTGTAAAAAGTAATGTGTGGATTAAAGTCTAAGCACTGAGAGCTAAGGGTATTCACAGAGGATGCCAACAGTGATGAATGAATTAGAAATATCATTGTCTTATTCATTCAATACAAGATCAAGCTTGAGAGAGGAGTTTTTGTTCTGAACATTATGGGTACGTCTAAACTACATGCCTCTGTCGGCAGAGGCATGTAGATTTGTTTTTTTGGCAAAGGCAAATGAAGCCGCGATTTAAATGATCGCGGCTTCATTTACATTTACATGGATGCCGCGCTGAGCCGACAAACAGCTGATCAGCTGTTTGTCGGCTCAGCGCGGCAGCCATGTAAATGTAAATGAAGCCGCGATCATTTAAATCGCGGCTTCATTTGCCTTTGCCTATGTGTCTAATCTACATGCCTCTGCCGACAGAGGCATGTAGTCTAGACACAGCCTATATGAGGTGAGATTCAAGCAGTTAGTCAGATGAGAGCTCAAGTAGGCTGCCTCAACTTTCCAGTCTCAGATTTGGCATGTCTCCTTCTCTGTATTCAGTGTAATGCTGCATTGAGTTGACTTATTTAAATAAAACTTTAACTCAGTTATCTGACATTATGACTTTCTAAATCCAAACACACAACACATTCTCACTTGTGTTCTCTCATTTGTTACACTATTTTTCTATATTAAAATAGCCCTGGTTAACAATTGTGATTTTTCCCCTTGGTTTTAAATAACTGTTTATGCTAAGGTACATACAAGAACCTCTATGACTCAAGTAGTGAATATAATATCTTTGAGTTGGCAGCATCATTAGTAAGACATGTATTACCATTTCTTGTTTTGCCAGACTAAATAATTGGTTTTTTTGTTGTAACCAAGTTGGTCCCTGAATATGAGAGAGATAAGGGCGATGTAATATTTTTTATTGACCCAACCTCTATTGGTGAAAGAGATAAGCTTTTGAGCTACACAGAGCTTTTCTTTTTGGAAGTTTGTCTCTTTCACCAACAGAAGCTGGCGCAATAAAAATTATTACATCACTCACCTTGTATCTTTAAAATTACTGTACTTGGCACACAACCGTCTTTTTAATCTACAGGTAAAAGGAACAGCTAGCCCTATAACCATGACACTAACTTCCTGGCAGTTTAGAAGTAAGACAGATACCCTGGACACTGAGAGTCCCTATGCAGCATTGACGTCCCACTGAAAGTTTGCAGAAGACATAGTTTGTATGTTACTTGCTTGTTACAAAATAAGGAGACAGGAGCGTGAGGACCACATTGCTACTTGGTGCTCCTCTGAATAACTGAGACAAAGTAAAAGGACACTTTACTAGGCAGTGTCACTGAAATTATTTTTAGGGTGGAAGTGCTGAGCTAGTTGTTGTCTCCCCACACCTGTTCATGCCCCTAAGCTCAACAGGCTGGGGTCACACCTAAAGTTGCCAAATGGTGTCCAGTCCATTCAGTCCAGGAGAGCTAGCAACCTAGCCAAACTCAGAGGTGGCTGCTGAGCCCCTGGGCAGTGGCAGGACCTGGGGACTGTGGGCTGCAAAGACTGAAGGGACAGTGGGTGGCGGGATGCCAAGAGTATCTTGTGGGACCTTGAAAGGGCTTTCTGGAGGGCTTCCTCGGGCTCATGGGTCAGCAGTGGGACTGGCCCCTGAGTGTGGGAAAGCCAAGTGCAAAACCTGACTCCTTGCATCCCTACCTCCTGCACTCTGTCTGAACTAAACTAATCCTATAGAAAGTAAAATTTTAAGGAGAAATAGTCACCAAAATAAACCAAGAAAATAACCAATTATTTTTTTATAGAGAAACTTGGTAGGATCAACTAATTAATCCTGGAGGAATTCTGCAATTGTTGCATTTGGAGCCATAGTAAAATTGCAGAATTCCCCTCTGATCGACAAATCAGCATCCCTTAACAGAGGATGAGAAGTGTGAGGCAGCTAGACCAATACAACAGTGTATAAGGATTGAATACCCCAAATTAGATTTTGGAAGGAAAAGTATTAAAATTAAAATATAACCTTTCATTCAGATTGTCTGTAGAATACAAAACTGTGCTTTATGCAGATCTCAGTGTATGTGATGTTTTCTAAAATTTCAATCTCAACTTTTGTTAGCATTGCATGATTTTATTTCCTTTCATTGGGCTTTTTTAGGATGTGTGAGATGTTGTAGACTGACCCATGACTCCAAATTTCTTTGGACCTACTGACTGGATAAGTTTCTTAACCAATGGACTTTCTGAGCCTGAAATTACTAGAATAGGGAGATTCTTGGTTTGAATAAATCTGGCCTAATCAAAGCCTATTAGGTGATGCTAGGGACCTCAGAAGGTAAGGATCCCATTCTAATTTGCCCAGGGAGGAGTTCCAAGGAACCACCCATCCACCATCTTTAAAAGGAAAGAAAAAAGTCTTGTTGCTGGCTTGTTGGCTTTGCAACAAGAAACATAAAAAACACAGTGTGTATCAGCAAGTAATCTCTAGTCACCAACAAGTCATTCGACACAAAACAGCAGAGCTTGACAGACCACCATCTAATCTTTTCAACAGCGTATCAGCTTCCTGAGGCTGAATGAAACCATGTTTGCCAGTGGCTGGGCTGTACAGACACCTCATCAAACACACTAGGGGTGAAAATGAAAGATTAAACAAACTGTATGGCTGGTAAAATGCTGCTCTGCATCTCCTCTCACTTGTCTATGATTTATTTTTCCCTATTTAAAATAAAAAATTTTAATTTACAGTGGTTTCTTCTTAGCAGGTTTTCCAGTAGACCAGAGACATAAATAAATATAACTTACTTGTCCTCACACTTATTGTAAATAAGTCCATCCCCACCGCAGTTGCCACACCGGTCACCTTTAGTATTCACTGCTTTGAAACAACTCAGCGGGGCCAGATGTGCAGCTGCAAGGAAGGAAAAAAACACAAGCTAAATGACAAGACAGAAATAAAGCATATAATGTATTGTACTAATGCCTCCAATCATATCAAGCATTAAGGGGAAACTGAAATTATTCACCTATAACCAGTTCTTTGAGATGGACTCTGCATATTCATGTATGGGAGATACCTCTGCTACAGATGTGATGGTGGAACATTGAGGTACCAGAGACTGTCAGAATCCTTACATTTTCTCCTACCCCAAGAGTGGGAACCTTTTTTTGGGTCAAGGGCTGCTGACTCACAGAAAAATCAGTCGGGGGCCACACACAAGTGAGACTCAGAAAAGAAAAAAACAAACCCTCATTGATGTGGTCCCCAACTGAGAAGGAGAAAGACTTTCCCCACATTTGTTTTGCCCACCAGAGACTAAGGGAGCCTAAAACGAATAGATTTTGTGTGCTACAGCCCCACAGTGGAACAGCGGAGAGGCTGGAGTACCAATGTGGGCTCCCCAAAGCTGGGGAGGGGAGCCCTGAGCCTCGGAGGCTGATTCCAGGCAAGCTAAGGGGCCACATCCAGCCCTCAGGCCTTAGGTTCCTATTCCGAACTACCGTTACTCCTCGTGAAACGAGGTGTATCAGTAGTTCGGAATAGGCACCCTAGTCCAAACTACCTAGTTCGAGCCCCGTGTAGCCGCGCTGCACGGGGTTCGAAGCAGCGGGGATTTAAAAATGGCGGCTCCCCGCTTATGCTAATGAAGCCCGGGAAATTCAAATCCCGGGCTTCATTAGCAAGTGCGGTATGCATACATTACCCCGCTAGTTCGAACTAGCGGGGTAGTGTAGACATACCCCAACTCTCATTCTCACGCCCCCATTTTCCTAATCTCCTGTCCTATAGCCCCATCACTGTTGCTGAATTTTCTGAGAGAAAGACTATAAAAGATGATAGAACATTTCACCCGTCACACTGAATTTCAATGCTTCCTCCTATTCTCAGGTTGCACTTAGGACTTCAAAGAAGAGGGAGGGTATGTGTGTATGGAGTGACTACGCAGAGTACACCTTGAAGAGTTCTGGTTATAGACTGAGAACCTCTATTTCTTCTTTGAGTGTCCTGTGCCTATTCTTACCCATGAGACAGTTTGACAAGAAGAACTCCCTTTAGAATGATGAAGGTGGGTCCTATATAATTAAAGAGAGATTGAAGTACCAACCTGCCAAATTGTGCAACCAATCTGGATCTTAAATCCAAATAATAGGGTTTTGTAAAATGCTTGGAAAGTGTTACAAGTCTACAGTTCTGGGTAAAAGAAATATGTCTAAGGCATACCTGTGAAGCTGTTGTGGAACTAGTGGAATGTGACCAAATTCTCTCAAGAACAGGGTCTGATACTAAAATGTAGGGCTCATGAAAACATAGACTAACCAATTTCCAGAGTATATGAGCACTTGTTTCTTTTTATTAGCAGGATAGAAATGACAAGATTATGGCACTATATGAATCATTTAGCCCTACTATAATAATAAGATAGACCTTTTTGCACTGAAAGTAACAAGCATGATTTCTTCTGCACAGGTGTCGCCTTGGAAAAAATACAGGTGAGTTAATTGACAGATAAATGTAAAATTCAATCACCACATTACAGATGGGGATGTAACTCTTTGCTATACTTATGAAAACCAGAATGAAGGGTCAGCTGTTAGGGCCTACAATTCACACACTGTTCTAGCAGATGTGACGGATCAGCTAAGCAAGAGTCTTCAACCCCTATCAACCCTTCACAATACATTTATATTTCTTCTGGCCAGGAGGGGGAAAGATTCTGAACCAGGTTTCTGTCCAAGAAGTAGGCCAGGGCTCATCTGACATGGAATGTGTGCATGGAAGTTTCAAATGTATTAGCATGTATGTGTCTTAGGAAAAAATACAGAGAGTTGGAGACGTTCATTCATATGGAATGAAGAGGGAATCTTATGTTGATACTTAGGGTGAGTTCATAAAGTATGCCATGAATGCTGCAATGACATGCAGGCAGAAGGGATGGCAATGAGAAAGAAGACCTTCATGAAGAGGTGCAATGCTGAACATGAAGCCACTGGTTGAAAAGGAGATTTGGTAAGAACACATAGAACAAGGTGTAAGTCTCCTGGGATAATTGGAGGACTCACATCATACTGAAGAATCTGAAGTCCTTTTAGGAAACATTTTCTAGCTGGATGGGCAAAGAAAGAGATGCTGTCAATCTTAGGGTGAAAAGCACTTATCACTTATCAGATGAAGGGAAATTGAGGTGCAGAGTGACAGTTTGATCAGAAAGGGGTACGAGGGTTCTTTTGGCTATTAGAATGTGGGGGCTATTAGAATTACTTTGGCCACATCTGATCTTTTGCACCACTTTAGAGAGTAGAGGAATCAGCGGAAAAGCGTAACACAGTATCCTTCCAGGTTGTGAGAAAAACATCCCTTTGAGACCACTGTCCTATGCTTGCCCTGGTGCAGAAGCATGTGCACTTCGAGTTGAGGAGAGTTGCAAAGAGATCAATGGTTGGCTGTCCCCATCTGAAGAAGAGGAGATGCAGAACAGAGTTGCTGAGGACCCACACATGGTGTTGGGAAAAGCATCTGTTCAATTTGTCTGAAGTGATGTTATGAGAGCCTGGAATATGTGCTCTAGAAATGTAAATATTGTGGCAAATGCAGTAATTCTAGAGTTTTATTGCTTTGGTACATAGTAATTGAGATCTGGCTCTGCCCTGCCTGTTTATATAGAACGTTGCAGGCAATGTTCTCTGTCAGCTCCCATATGTGATAGTTATGCAGGAGAGGAAGAAACTGGTGGCAGGCACTGTGGAAAGTATGAAGCTCTAGGCTGATGTGTAAGGATACTTCTTGAGTTGACCATAGGCCCTGGACTGTATGGCTTTGGAAGTGTGCTCCCCATCATATGCAGGTGGCGTTGGTAGTTAGTACATATGAAGGGGCTGAAGGTATAAATTGGACCCCTGAACATAGATTGACTGAGTTGATCCACCACCTGAGAGGTTGTTTTACTGTGTGTTATATAGTGAAGCGGGTTCTCAGAGTATCTGTGAGACTTGAAGAAGATTGCAAACTATGCTTGAAGGCAACACGTGTATCTGAGCATCTGTCATGACAGAGGTGGATACTGCCATATGACCAAGAAGTTGGAGACATTCCAGGACTGTGATGTTCAGGGAGTAGTACAGTGTGGTCACTAGGGATTGTATGGCATGGAATCTCTTGTCCAGGAGCAACACTTAAGCTACCATGGAGTCTAGGTAGACTCCAAGGAATTGTATGGTTTGTGTGGCCTGTGGTGATGATTTAATCTAGTTTATTTGAAGACCTAGGTGTTGGAGGTACTGAATTGTGGTTAGCATTGCCTTGTCATAGATGCCAGCCTTGACGAGGAAGTTATCAAGGTAGGGAAATATGATTATTCCTAGAATGGGGAGATATGCTATTACCACAGCTAGTACCTTGGAGAAGATGTGAGGGGCTGTGGAAACCCAAAGGGAAGGACTCAATATTAATAATGACCCATTCCCAAGATGAATTTTAGGAACCGTCTGTGTGACAGGAGTGTTGCATTGTACACATGGTGTGCTCCACAGGCTGGGGAAGGCACACACCATGTTCCATGGGGCATAGAGGACTGGCTTCCTTCGTCCCACCGCTTCTGCTCAAGGGCCTGCGACTTTTGGGAGTGCAGAGCCACTCTCATCACAACCTTACCAGGGCTTGCAGATGCTCTCGGCTCCCTGACCTGAACTTCCAGGCAATTGTAGGTAAGGGTATGTCTACACTACCCCGCTAATTCGAACTAGTGGGGTAATGTAGGCATACCGCAATTGCAAATGAAGCCCGGGATTTGAATTTCCCGGGCTTCATTTGCATAAGCTGGGCGCCGCCATTTTTAAATCCCGGCTGGTTCGAACCCCGTGCCGTGCGGCTACACGCAGCACAAACTAGGTAGTTCGAACTAGGCTTCCTAGTTTGAACTACCGTTACTCCTCGTAGTTCGAACTAGCGGGGTAATGTAGACATACCCTAAGTGTAGACATACCCTTAGTCTTTAAGGTGCCACAGGACTCCTCATTGTTTTTATAGATACAAACTGACATGTCTACCCCTTTAAAACAAATATAGATGTTTATCCAGAGTTTACCTAAACCCTTCTCATACAGAAAAAGAACTAAGAATCTTATAGATTTAGGTTTTCCTACAAGATATCCAATATGTCTGAGTTGGATATTTACCTGAGGGAAGGCTGCAGGATTCTGTTCACAATCCTACAAACACTTAGGCTATGTCTACACTATGGGGCTTTATCGGAAAAAGGTACACAAATTGCACTCCGTAATTTGCGCATCTTTCTCCAATAGTTTTTTCGGAAGAGGGTTTTCCAAAATTTTGCCGGTCTACACTGGGCGAAATTTTGGAGAAAAAAAAAAATCTTTCAGAAGGGCCCTTCTTCCTTGTAGGAAGAGGAAGACAGGGCTTCCAAAAGAACACATCTACTCTTTTGCAAAAAAAAGTGGAATCGAACCAGCGGGGTTTTAAAAATGGCGGCTCCCCGCTTATGCAAATGAAGCCCGGGAAATTCAAATCCTGGGCTTCATTTGCAAGTCCGGTATGCCTACATTACCCTCCTAGTTCGAACTAGCGGGGTAGTGTAGACATACCCTCAGTGCCTTCCAGTGGTATCCTTTTAGCAGCCCTCCCCTAGTCAACCAGACCACCAGTGACACTCAGAATACCCTCACCTAGTGTGGTTAAGTTCTAGGATCAGTTCCCTGGGTGCAGTCAGCCTTTGACCTATCCATGGTCCTGTTGTTCTTCCAGCCAGCCAGACATGCAAATCTCCCTCTCTGAGCTCCAAAAAGGAAGCTATGCTTCTGCTGTTTCTTTTTATATGGACTTTCTGGCCCCTGATTGGTCAATCCAGCAATTTTTCTGACTAAATGTCTGGAGACTCTCTCCTCTGCTTTTTTCTGGGGTGTGAAGAGGTAATGTCAAAAGACCTCCAGAAAGAGGCCTCTGGATCTAGTACACCCTTTTACACCAACCTAAATATTGAGAAAGATTACATTCTCCTTGAGGGTCTCAGCATTCTTTCCTCTTTAAAATTATTCCAATTTCATTAGCCCTTGTCACGTTGCTGAATTGGAGGAAAGCAGCCAGATCGCTGCTGCACCCCTAGGTGGGGGTGTTGGCCCCAGAAATTGGTGTGGGGGGAGCCATGTGGGGTATTGAATGGGAGCTTGTTGTTTTCTGATCCTGTGTACACTGTTTATGTGAGTATATAATGTCTGTGTGTGTAGATCTGTAATCTGTGTAGAAACTGAAGATTTCCCTGCATGTGGTTAAGCATTGGGCAGGGCTGAGCCTGTGGAGCCTGTGGACATGCTAATTACCTGTGGAACAATGGTTCTCAATGGGCCAAAGACACACCCAAAGAATGGGGGCTGTCCTGAGAGCAGCCAGCAGGGAAGACAGAGAGGCTGAGGACCAGGTGACCTGCTACATACTAGAAGAGGCCAGGAAGGAGTATAAAGAGGCCATGTGGTCGATGCCATTTTGTTCTCAGCTCAGCACTTCATCCCAGAGGCAGCACTGCAGGGATCGAAGAGCCCGGAAGACCTGTGAACCCATCCTGATCGTAGGATGTGCAATAAGGACTTTTAACCAGCAGCTGCAACATCTCTGCTAGAGCCTGCATCGAGAACTGGGAGATTCGGTGCATGTAACGTACTGTACTTTAATAACCTTACTCTCAGGCTTTTCTTTCCTGTAATAATAAACCTTTAGATATAGATTCTAAAGGATTGGCCCAGCGTGATTTGTGGGTAAGGTCCAGAGGGTAAATTGACCAGGGATCTGTGGCTGGTTTCTTGGAACCGGACAGAACTTGTTCGGGGTAGGTGGGATTGGGTGCTAGGACCCCCCACCTGTGTATAGGCCCGGGGCCATCTGGGCCACGGATATTGCTGGGGTGTCAGAGGGGTTTTGCTCGGGAGGCTTCAGGCAGGCAGCTGAAGCGCTCTGTGAGACTGGTTTGTGGCCTGTGTGGAGAGGTCGCCAGTCAGGGGGACTGTAAAGAGCCCGGGATTTGAGCAATTCGCCCTGAGCGGACGCCCTAAGCTGTGCCCAGACACGGCCCGGTCTGTCACAGCCCTCCCCTAGTATCTTCTGTAGCCAAAGAGGGCTCCCATGCAAGTATCTACCCCAACTTTCCAAACCACCTGTTCTCAAAAATCAGCTGATTTGTATGCTAGGAGACACTCCAACCCTCTTCTATTGCTTCCTGAGCTGAGAAAACATGTAAGATCCAACAGCAGGGAAAGTATGGCACAGTGAGACTGTTTAAATATTTCAATGTTTAATATTACAGAAGAACAGTCCTTACATGTAGGAGTGATATGCAAAACAGTTAGGTCAGGGGGAAGGGCAGATTCCTAGCATAGGTGAAGCAGGATAAACCAAGATTGCAGAAACTCCCAGAAGCCACAAAAACTTTACTCACTTTGTATAGCGCACCTGGGCCAAAATATCTGTTACAGGATGGACTTCCCTGGTCCAGCACCTTCGGGACCTGACTGGTCCTGGATAAGGGATTTTTCCAGACCAGGGAAGTCATTTCAGGCACCCTCCCCCACTGGCTTCCTGGCTTCCCCCCGCATCACTGATCACGCACTAGCTCCCGGCCCCTCTGCAACCCAACTGAGCTGTGCATTGGCTCGTGGTCCACACCCCTCACAGCACAGCTGAGTCTCATGCTAGCTCCCTTTGCCTCTGGATTTTAGAAGTGCAACCTGTACCGAGTCCTCAGTTGGTAATCATTCCAGAACTGGCTAATGTCCTAAGAATTCATTGAAGCTGCTAAGGATTTTTGTAAATAATAATATAGGACTTACCTTTACCAAATACAGCTTTGCATTGCTTTTCATGATTATTGCATCTCCCTTTGAAACAACAGTCCTTGTTACTGCATGGAGTTCCATCTTGCTTATATACATCCTCTGGGCACCAGTGTGAAGAACCATTGCAGTATTCAGGAAGGTCACAGTAACCAGTACTTTCTCTGCATATTTTCCCTGGTAAATGAAGCTATTAAAATAATAGTACAAAGATCTAGATGTGCTTTCTTTGTGGTGGCCTATTCCATGAGCTACCATTTGCTCTCTTAAAATATGTTTGGTTTAGATGTTCCCAAACATCTCATGGGTAAGGAAAAAGCCACCTGCAGTTTCTTTACCATTTATTTCAACATAGATAAGATAAGAGAAAGATGCACGATAAATACACCTTGTGCTGTTTATTAATGACTGCACTCTAATTCCAGTGTTCAAAATATTTGTGATTTATTTCCACTCTCAAATGATGATTGGGCTTTTAATCAATAATAATAAAGAAAGGAAAAAACAGATTTTGCCCATCTATTATTTTTTTCCATTCTGAGACTGCTGAGGCTAGAGCAGGGGACATTTCACCCACAGTGCTCAAAAGCTAGGTCTGTCAGTCCCTGGGGGAAGGGGCATGAGACCAACCTAACAATATCCTCTTCAGAATGACCACTAAATAGAACTGGTGTTACTGTAGCACCTTGAAGTTGTAGTCAAGGAACCAGACCCTATTGTGCGCAGTGTTGCACACAGAACAGGGCTGGTCCTTCTCCAAAGAGCTATAACCTAAGTATAAGATAAGAGATGGGTACAGATAAATGGGAGACCATACAAAGAATCAGCATGACAGTACTGGACATTTTGATATGCAGTGATCTCAGCTCACCAGCAACCTAATTGCTATCAAGTGTTTTGGTAGGCAGGAAGAAAGAGGAGTGTTTTGGGATGGGTTTTGGAGGATAATTACTGAGTTTTAATCAATGTTTATGCAGAGTTTCTCCCAAGAATGAGAGGCAGCATGAGAGAAAGAATGTAAGTCTTTGAAAATTTAACAAGTGGGCAATGGATGCTAGCATCATGAGTGGATTGGAGTTAAGTGTTGAGCATTCAATAGCAAACAAGAGATGACATGGTCATGATTGGCCATGAAGCGCTTTGAAGGTGAAGGCAATTAGGTGAAGACAAATGTGATAGAGAAAAGGGAACCAGAAGACGGAAGAAAGGAGACGTGACATGGTCAAAATGACTGACTAGGAAAATGAAATTTGCCGCAGCATTCTGAAATACCCTTCCCTAGCCCCTCTTCTTGATGTACAAAATAAAGGACAATTGTGTTCAAAAATGGAATCTGTCTTTATTGAACAAAACTGGGGGAGACTGGGAAAAGGAGGTGGGAGAGGGGAAGAGAGAGGCTGGGAGAGGGGAGGGCAACTAAAATGATCAGGGGTTGGGAACAGGTCCCATATGAAGACAGGCTAAAGAGACTGGGACTTCTCAGCTTAGAAAAGAGGAGATGGAGGGGGGACAGGATAGAAGTCTCTAAAAGCAGGAGTGGGGTGGAGAGGGTACATACAGAAAAGTTCTTCATTAGTTCCCATAAAGAAGGACTAGAGGACACCAAAGGAAAGGAATGGGTAGCAGGCTTCAAACTAGTAACAGAAAGTTGTTCTTCACAAAGCAAAGAGTCAACCTGTGGAACTCCTTGCTGCAGGAGGCTGTGAAGGCTAGAACTAGAACAGACTTTAAAGAGAAGTGAGATCAATTCATGGAGGTTGGGTCCATGGAGTGGTATTAGCCATGGGGTAGGAGTGGTGTCCCTGCCCAAAGTTTGTGGAAGGCTGGAGAGGGATGGCACGAGACAAATGGCTTGGTCACTATCTTCCGTCCATCCCCTCCAGGGTCCCTAGGGTTGGCCGCTGTCGGCAGACAGGCTACTGGGCTAGATGGCCCTTTGGTCTGACCCAGCACGGCCATTGTAAGCTCAGGGCTCAGAGTCGGGGGTCTCAGTGGACCACCTTGATTTTCATGCACACCTGCTCTTGGGTGGCCAGGCTGGCAGCTTTCCTGCCCTAGACAGCTGCTTTCCTGTGCCTAGTGCTATAAAGGAGCCCTACCCATAAGTATTTTGAAAATTCTTCCTCCTTTTCTTCTGCCAAAATGCCCAAAGTTAAAAAAAACCTTTGCATTTGAAGCAAAGCAAAACATTTCATTTGAACATTACTGGAAGTTTTTGGTCTGGTCAAAATTGTTCAGTGAACTCTAAATGAATTAACAAATAGTTTTGTGTTGACCAAAACACCCATTTTCAGCAAATAAATGATTTACTAAAAACAAGGTGCACAGCTCTTATTCCAACACATCTACGTGGGATTAGCACATCCAGTACTTGAGAAGGAAACTGTGAAAATGAATGGGGTTGCCACTGGCTATTAACTTGTAAGTAAACATTCAATTTACCATGAACTAAAACGCCTATTATGTTTTTTCTTACCTGACAGTTTTTGCAGCAAAGTCCAGAAATACATTCAGCACCTGGCTTTATTGTACAGTTGGAAAGGCAGCAGCCACTCCGTTGGCACACCTTAAAATACGCAATGAACAACACCTCACCTTAAAAACCTGTGTTGGGACTCTCCTGTAACAACCACATTTACCATTTATTGTTTAATTTCAAACAGTAACAAAGCTTAGTGAATCTGAGAGACAAACTCCCATTTCTCACCATAGTTATGGTGACTATACACCCTGTTTTAGATGTGAATGTCCCTTTTTATGCCTGGTCCCAGTCATCCAAACTGTTCCAGCAAAAGTGGGTTAATACATGCCTGATGTCTAATGTATGAAGACAGTCTCTGTTGTCGCCCAGTGAGGTTTGTGACAGAACATAGGACGATGGATTGGTTGGTACATATGAAAGGATGATGTTAGTGTAGCCCAAGTTACAGTTAGTGCTTCAGCAGCAGCCCTGGGAACTACAAGTTGTGGATGACAAACTGCAGCATATTGGGAGAACTTCCTGGTTCCTGCCAGCACGTCCCCTCTGCCCCCAGTATGGTCTTTGCAAGGACTAAGCTGGAAGCACATAGGCTTCAGGCAGAGGAGGGGCTGCTAAGGGAAGGTTATTCTCCTGTGTAGTATCTGGAGTTCTTCAAGATGGTTGTCCCTGTGGGTGCTCCACCTTAGGTGCTTCAGCGCCGCTGAGCCCGAGACTGGAGATTTGTGACAGGAGCGCCCCTGGCTGGCCACATGCACAAGAATCTGGTGTGTGTTCTGAGGAGACTACTTCACATGCATGACCAGGCCTCCCATCTCCTCAGTTCCTTCTCTGACCCAGACATGCTGTATTCGAAAGACAGGGAAAGGAGGTTGAGTGGTGGAGCACCCCTGGGAACAACCTTCTTGAAGAACTCCAGCGACTACACAGATGAGTAACCTTCCCTTCTTCGAGGAGCGTCCTGTGGGTGCTCTACCTTAGGTGATTTCAAAGCAGTATTCGTAGTAGGAGGTGGGAACTTCAAATGCTGAGCCTGCGAGGCCCAGCGTATTGTATGGCCAAATGTTGTCTCTGACTTAGCTAATGTCTGTATTGCATAATGTTGTATGAAGGTATGTGTTGACATCCATGTGGTGGCCCTGCAGATATGTTCTGTTGGGACACCCTGTAGGAATGCCATTGCCCTTATAGAGTGAGATTGCACAGTTGATGGGGGCTATCTCTGGGCTATGATATACACTAGTTTAATGCAACTAGATACCCATTTTGAGAGTCTTTTTTTCGATATAGATAACCCCTGTGACCTCTCTGTTGATGAAAAAAACAGCTGAGGGGTTTCTGAAAGGGCTTTGTCCACTGTAGGTAGAATGCTTGTGCTCTGCAGAGATCCAGGGTATGGAAAGTATCAGAGTATCCATGGTAGTCTGGATCTGCAAAAGTGACAAGGAGTCCTGTAGCATCTTATAGACTAACAGATGTATTATAGTATAAGCTTTCGTGGGCAAAGACCCACTTTGTCAGATGAATGTAGTGGAAATATCCAGAGGCAGGAATAAATATGCAGGCCAGAATCAGGTTTTTGTCACAAGGCCTCCAGAAAGAGGCCTCTAGATCTAGTACACCCTGTTACACCAAACTAAATATTGAGAAAGATTACATTCTCCTTGAGAGTCTCAGCATTCTTTCCGTATGTAAAAGAATAAATGGACACAAATCAGACATTAGGAATGGCAATATACAAAAACATGTAGGAGAAACACTTCAGTCTCCCTGGACACACAATAGCAGATCTAAAGGTAGCCATCCTTCAGCAAAAAAACTTCAAGACCAGACTTCAAAGAGAAACTGCTGAGCTACAGTTCAACTGCAAGTTTGATGCCATCAGCTCAGGATTAAACAAAGACTGTGAGTGGCTAGCTAACTACAAAAGCAGCTTCTCCTTTCTTGGTATTCACATCTCCAGATCAGCTGCTAGAAGTGGGCCCCATCCTCCCTGCTTGAATTAGCCTTGTTATCTCTAGCCTGATTCTGGCCTGCATATTTATTCCTGCCTCTGGATATTTCCACAACATGCATATGACAAAGTAGGTCTTTGCCCACGAAGCATATGCTCCAATACATCTGTTAGTCTATAAAGTGCTGCAGGACTCCTTGTTGCTAGGGTATGGAAAGCCACTTCTTTATTGTCCTTGTGTGGATTAGGGAAGAAAACAGGTAAGTATATGGGTTCATTGCAGTGAAACTCGGTAAGTACTTTGGGTGGAAATTTGGGTTGAGTCCTAAGCGTGACCTTATCCTTATGAAATAAATATTGCGTATGTTAGATCCACCATTAAGGCTGCTATTTCACCAACATGTCTTACAAAGGTGATTGTCACAACAAAAGCTACTTTAATTGATAGGTATAATAGTGAACAGGTGGCAAGAGGCTCAAAGGGTTTACCCACGAGCACTTTTAGTATAAGGTTCAAGTCCCATGCTGGGATTGGTTCCTTGTATGGGGGAAACATGTTGGCTGTGTCTAGACTGGCAAGTTTTTCCGGAAAAGTGGCTGATTTTCTGGAAAAACTTGCCAGCTGTCTACACTGGCCGCTTGAATTTCCGGAAAAGCACTTTTTGCGGAAAAGCGTCCATGGCCAATCTAGACTCACTTTTCCGCAAAAAAGCCCCGATCGCCATTTTCGTGATCTGGGCTTTTTTGCGGAAAAGTGAGTCTAGATTGGCCATGGACGCTTTTCCGCAAAAAGTGCTTTTCCGGAAATTCAAGCGGCCAGTGTAGACAGCTGGCAAGTTTTTCCGGAAAAGTGTCCTGCCAATCTAGATGCGCTTTTCCGGAAAATCATGCCAGTGTAGACGTAGCCGTAGCGTAGACGTATGTAAGCAGAGGCTGAACTGCTGCTTGCTATCAGCCAGCTAAAAGGAGAGACCTGCCCTGGGGTGTGCCCATTACAATTGTTTAGTTCTGCAAGATAATTAATTGTTAACTGCTGATATGTAAATACAGCTCATGCCAGGATGGGGAGGGAATATGAAGTGTGGCTATGTAAATCCTATTTAGCCAGGGCTGATGGAGGATCAGTGTTGGAATGGAATGTGGTGTATTGTAAATAATTTGGGGCTGTTGTGGGGTCATAAATCATGCTACCCCTAAATGTGGGAACTGTAAAACATGCCACCAGTGCTTGCAGGAGAGACACCACCATCATTGTAAGAGATCTCCGAGGAGCAAGCCTCCCCCCTTCCAGAATTGAGTGAGCTGAGCGAGCTGAGCTGGGGGAAGGGTTAAAGGGCTTGAATCAGCCTGCTTCACACCTGCCAGGTGTGAGCTGTAAGACTGGCCCAACCTGCACCTTTCCCCCTTTGTTTTAAAGACAGAGCTAAAGCAGACTCCGGGTACGTCTACACTACAGCGCTAGTTCGAACTAACTTAGTTCGAATTAGTTAATTCGAACTAAGCTAGTTCAAACTAACGCATCTAGAACTAAAAACTAGTTCGAACTAGCGTTTTGCTAGTTCGAACTAGTAAGTCCACATTGAGTGGACTCTGAACAGGGCTTAAGGATGGCCGGAAGCAGTGCCGGCAGGGCATAAAAGGAGGACTTAGAGCATGGAGATGCTGTCTCAGGCTAGCCGAGGGCTGCGCTTAAAGGGTCCCGACCCCCACCCCGGACACACAGTTCTAAGGGGTGCCCCGCTTGCAAAGAAGTTCTGGCTTGGAGTGCCCTGAGTGCCCACACTGGGCACATCACACCACTCGGCCATCAGCCCGGCTGCACTTGCCGCAGGCTGCCATCTGGGGAGAGGGAGTAATTGGGGGGCTGCAGGAGAGCTTCCACCCCCAGAAGCCCGCAGAGCCAGCCCAGTCCTCCCCATCGGGGGCTCATACCCCATTCCTCCCTCACCTCCTTCCACTTACCCTTCCCTAGCCCCCCTTCTTATTGATGTACAAAATAAAGATAACGTTTCTTCCAACATTGACTCTGTCTTTATTGAAAAAAAACTGGGGGAGACTGGGAAAAGGAGGTGGGAGAGGGGAAGAGAAAGGCTGGGAGAGGGGAGGGCAACTAACATGATCAGGGGTTGGGAACAGGTCCCAGATGAAGAAAGGCTACAGAGACTGGGACTGTTCAGCTTAGAAAAGAGGAGACGGAGGGGGGACAGGATAGAGGTCTCTAAAAGCAGGGGTTGGGTGGAGAGGGTGCATTCAGAAAAGTTCTTCATGAGTTCCCATAAAGAAGGACTAGAGGACACCAAAGGAAAGGAATGGGTAGCAGGCTTGAAACTAGTAAGAGAAAGTTGTTCTTCTTGACAAAGCAAATAGTTAACCGGTGGAACTCCTTGCTGCAGGAGGCTGTGAAGGCTACAACTAGAACAGAGTTTAAAGGGAAGTGAGATCAAGTCATGGAGGTTGGGTCCATGGAGTCCTATTAGCCAGAGGGTAGGAGTGGTGTCCCTGCCCAAAGTTTGTGGAAGGCTGGAGAGGGATGGCACGAGACAAATGGCTTGGTCATTGTCTTCGGTCCATCCCCTCCAGGGTCCCTAGGGTTGGCCGCTGTTGGCAGACAGGCTACTGGGCTAGATGGACCTTTGGTCTGACCCAGGACGGCCATTGTAAGCTCAGGGCTCAGGGTCGGGGGTCTCAGTGGACCCCCTTGATTTTCATGCACACCTGGTCCTGGGTGGCCAGGCTGGCAGCCCTCCTGCCCTAGACGGCCACTTTCCTGTGCCTAGTGCAGAGATCGTGGACGAGGTCCACGATGTCCTCACTAGCCCAGGAAGGTGCCCTCCTCTTGCGGTCCAGGGCAGTAATTCAAATTACTCTACTGACAAACTATTTTTTTCCCAAAATGAGAAATTACAAGAAAGCCGACTTCTCAAAATGGATAAAGAATAGTTTCTTTGGAGACTATCTTTCATTGTCTGGCTATAGAATGAAGAACTGTAAAAAACAAATCAGTGGAAATTAAATGTTCTGAGACTAAAATTGAGAAGTGTGAATTGTGGAGAATTCCAATCTTGTTATAAAAATGATTGCCTGCCTTCCAGATATGTAGCATGTCAACTAAGAAAAAATGAAGGGAAAAAAA